GGCGGCAACTCATCCCACAGACCCGTCGGTCCACCGGGTCCCGGAATATGCATCAGACTTTGGATCTGCACGTTAGGCGGGCAGCGAAACTCCCGCGTGCGCCGTGCGGCCACGGAGGAGGGCAGATTGGACATCTTGATGGCCATATAGCGCTGCAGTTGATCCTGTACACGACAGACGAAGGAGGCGGTCAAGAGGTAGCAAAAAAGGGGGGCTGGCGTCGATATGTGGGACACAAAGGATGAATGAGATACGGGGCTATAGATGTGTGCAATAGGAGTTCTACTGTGAAGGTTGTGGGAGGTCCCACCATTTTCCTTGTGCAAATGGTAACTACTACTACTACTACTACTAACATCTCCTTACTGACATCCAATTCTCATCCGTGGCTCCCCGAAGCTAGTTTTAACAGAGCGGCCACACCCCGATAACCGTCTCGATCGGCGAGCTAAACCACAGGAGGGTACACGATGCTGTGTATATCCCCACATCTAGAAATTCCGTTCCAATTACCATCCAATTCTCCCCTTCTTGCCCTTCCACACCTTTAAAAAGTCCTAGGGAGCAGGTGACACACAGTCCCGTAGGCGGCCCAGACTAACTCTAGTCGCTCTTCCACTAAACAAACCCGTGACTCATAGGGGAGTTCGGCAACCGTCTGGGATGTCTGAGCAGCCGTATTTAGGGATAATACTGCCTACCCAATCCCGGAGACGGGAGAAGAAAAGTTGGCCTAGACAAATTCTGGGATCTTTACACTGACCGTGGCTCACATATATAAAACTCGCGTTTGAAATAGCCAAAACGACAACAACCCCACACTCCCTGACATTAAAACCCTACACTCCCTGAAATCAAAACCCCACACTCCCTGACATAACACTACAAACAAACATACTACTCGTTTGATTTCAACAGCGTATTTATTTACACTAGAAGATCACAAGAGACTGGATATACAGTGAACATTTGTACGCTGCCATTCTGCAAACGCCTCACCTTTTCAACAGTTCATATTTCCAAATTAT